ATGGCCAAAAGTTCTCTATCGCCCACATCATAATTCCGTTCAGCAGGGCTTAAACGTAGGGAGAAAAAGGCGCATGGATGAACCTTGTTATCCTCCAGAGACCGCTGAGATAGAACCGCTCCCACACCTGAGTCCGAAGCGTCGACCTCCAAGATGAATTGCCTCTCCGGATCTGGATGACGAAGGATGTGGGTAGAAGAAAATAGACATTTGAGTTCCTTAAAAGTCTTTTCAGCCTCAGGAGTCCAGGAGAAAGTTTGTAAGGAGGAGGTAAGTTGGGTAAGCGGTGCAACGATGTGGCTATAATTCTTAATGAACCTCCTGTAAAAATTTGCAAACCCCAAAAAACATTGCAGCTGTTTACGAGTCTCGGGGGTCGGCCATTCCTCCACAGCCTTCGTTTTCTCAGGATCCGTGCAAAAACAGCCCTCTTTGAAAATAAACCCCAAAAATGACACAGAGGAGACATGAAACTCGCATTTCTCCACCTTAACAAATAGTTGATTCTCAAGGAGTCTCTGAAGTACAGCCCGTACGTGACTCTCGTGTTGTGCTAAATCCCGAGAGTAGACGAGTATATCATCTAGGTATACGAACACAAAGTCGTTCAAGAAATCCCTGAGAACGTCATTAACAAGTGCCTGGAAAACAGCAGGGGCATTAGTAAGACCGAAAGGCATTACCAAATATTCAACATGTCCCAGTGGCGTCCTAAAAGCGGTTTTCCACTCGTCCCCCTCCCTTACCCGTACAAGGTGATATGCGTTGCGTAAATCTAATTTAGAAAATATAGAAGCTGTCTGTAGCTGGTCATGAATAGAACTAATGAGAGGTAAAGGGTATTTGTTTTTAACTGTAATGTGGTTAAGACCACGGTAGTCTATACAGGGGCGTAAGGTTTAATCCTTTTTAGACACGAAAAAGAAACCCGCCCCTACGGGTGAGGTTGATGGCCGAATGATGCCGGATGCCAGAGACTCCCCGATGTATTTCGTCATAGTCTCCCTCTCAGACCCTGACAAGTTATACAGTCTACTAGAGGGTAGGGGAGCACCCGGGAGTAGATCAATGGCACAATCATAAGGGCGATGTGGAGGCAATGACAGAGCCTTCTCTTTATTGAAAACAGCG